ATGATGCACATCCATCACTGATCTTCTCTTGTGAAGAAGAACATGATGGTAGACTACATTTCCTTGACGTCCAATTGAGCAGAAGGGAGGATGGTTCACTCAAGAGAGATGTCTATGGAAAACCTACATCTGTAGGACAATATACACATTTCCTCAGTTTTGCACCAATCCGATACAAAATCAATTTGGTCAGATGCCTCACGAATAGAGCAAAACGTATATGTACAGATGACTCCCTAGAAAAAGAGCTAGGATACATCCAAAATACTTTGGTCCAAGTGGGTTATCCTAGAAGATTTGTAAGGAGACACATGAACACCAGGTACAATAAAGAAAAACTGACAACCGTTAAAAAGAAACAACTGTTCATGAAACTGCAATTTAATGGGGACGTGGCTAGCGAAGTCTTACATCAAAGATTGTCGAGAGCGATAAGATGGACCGATACTGCCACTATTCTTTGTTTGTCATTTTCTAGCCGACCAATTATGATTGCTCAAGTGAAAGACAAGCTGCCTAACTGTGCCACTTCTATGTGTATCTATAAATTTAGTTGCTCCTGTGGAGAAAGCTATATAGGGCGAACAACTAGACAGCTTAACAAACGCATTAATGAGCATCTTCCTTCATGGTTCGGAAAAGGTCAAATAAAATCTATAAAAAGTTCTATTTTGGCTCATTTGATTGATAGCGGTCACGAAGTGGACAAAAATAGTGCCTTCAAAGTTATCTATCGCATTTCATTGAACCTTTTAAACGGAATTCGAATCCGTCTTTTACACAGAGCGAAAGCTATAGGAATTAATTCGAGAGGACCATCCTAGTCTTTGCACACAACAAGAGAAGTTTTTTCTATCTTTGTCTCTCCCTAGGCCTAGGTGAATTCTAATCGAAACCCTCCCACCCTTTCTTATTTTCTATCCCCTTCGTATTTTTATGATATTTATTTAAATTCTGATTATCTGTCCACTTCACCTTTATTATTACGTAACTTTTAAGATTTGACCTTATTTATTGAATTGTCTACATATACACATATTACTACCTTTGTTATTCTTATAGCCAACAGTACAAACCTTATTATCAATATTTTGTTATCATTATAATCATGGTTGTTAACTACGTTCAATACCACATTATTATTTCGATCCACAAAGTCACCGTCATTGGTTAAAAATTTTTATATATAAATCCATGTAAATTAGAGTAAAGCCTGAAGAAGATCTAATTGTTCGCTTATATGTCTTGTTCTAATATTATAAATGGGAATATTTAAAGATTTGAATAATTTAACTCTGTCTTACTCACTACTATCAACAGAGTACTGGCTCTCAGGCCTTCGGTAAGTTTGCTTTCTAAGATGTTCTTTAGAGCCAGTCTTTTTGCATCTGGATGGAGCCATGCCACTCAAGTTACCTGTAGTAATTATTTGTAATCGTAGTATTAGTATTTCGAGATGACCGAATTACAAGAATCCAACCAAAACACAGAGAGGGTGGAATTCAGAAATTAGTATATAGTGGAATCATTATGTAATTCATATAAGAAATATATTAACAATCAACAGTAAGCATTTAAACAATACAGAGATAGAAATAGTCAATCACGACATCCGCCACACGTCGAATATCTCCTTGCGTATTTATAACGATGTCTCGGTTTGCTTGCAAGTAGCTGCGACCTTCTAACTGATTCTGTGATATCATTTCCATCAGTATAATCTGGACTTATTTCTGAATTATCTACAAAGTCAGGATTAGTAGCGGAGTCATTATAATCATAATTGGAACGACCTACTTCATTTATTCTCACTTGATCCAAGTATCTGTTATGAACTGAATTATCTTCGATGTCTAATATTTTCAACAATCGATTTCCCATTTTTTGTATTATGATTCCAGCAGAATGTCTACAGTCATTCCCTTTGTAATAATGTACATCAGAAGTCGCGGACATCAGATGCTTTGTGAGAATTCGAGATTTGAATAGTTTTGCTGGACTTTCACGGGTACTTGTATGTTCTGCATTCAACAGTCGCAGTCTATGCATATGCAGCAATTCCTCCATTTTAATCAGTTGCTCACTCATCTCATTCAGTTTTTTTCGTGTTTTCGACAGTTCACATTGTAACTCGACTACCACATTTTTGAAAGCAGTTGACACTTGAGTTGCCGAACTTGTAGTGGAGGTTTTCATTGGATGAGATTGAGTATTTTGAAAGGTTGAAAGACACATTGACTCCATTTTACTAGACAGCTTGGGAGAATTATAAGAATGTTGAGCAGCATAAGTATTCGAACTTCTGCAAACAGTCTTGATGTGTCCAACTTTACCACATTTATGGCACTTAGCACCCCGAAAACGGCAAGTGCTTCGTAGACGTAACTTTCCACAGGAAAAGCACGGTTTAATGTTTTTGATCTCTGGCTGCATTCTGTTACCTGTGGACGGCAGTTTGGATTGCTTTCCATGACCACTTGTATTTTCGACTTTGGACAACATGACATCAGATACTGACGTAGTGGGAGCAGAGTATTCACTATTGACATCTTCATATGTAATACATAAATCTTTATCAGTTTGAAAGGTACAAGAAGGAATCTGAATTAACTCTTTCTCTAACTTAGGAATATTGATTCCAGCAATTAGACGATCACGTAGTTGAGTATGCAGCTGATCTCCAAAGTTACACTTTGAAGCTTGTATTTGGAGTTGCAGAATAAAGTCTCTAATCCTCTGGTTGGGAGCACGAACCAGTTTGTTGAATTGAGCCCTCTCTCTGGTCTCAAATGTAGTTACATGAAAGTGATGTATCAGAAGTTCACGGAGTTTATAATATGGCAGAGAAATGGGTTTATCTGGAAACGACAGAGTCTTCACTAGGCTATACGCATCTAGCCCAATAGCAGTGATGAAATGTGCTGGTATTTTGTCATCCCGAATTTTCTTTGAAATGCACCATGCATCGAAGCATTCAAGATAATCAGCAATTTCCCGCGGTGAACCATTTATAGGAAATTTTCCCAGGTTATTTAGTTCCATCGCGACGCCAATTTGTAATAATTTATTGTAATCGTAGTATTAGTATTTCGAGATGACCGAATTACAAGAATCCAACCAAAACACAGAGAGGGTGGAATTCAGGAATTTGTATATAGTGGAATCATTATGTAATTCATATAAGAAACATATTAACAATCAACAGTAAGTATTTAAACAATACAGAGATAGAAATAGTCAATCACCACATTACCGAACCGTCTTCGAGAAGGCGATTCCTACAGAATGAGCTGACGAACAGTCAGTTTTCTGGATTTCCATTCCTCGAACGCTTCAATCAATGAGAGTCTATGTGAAATACAACTCAAGAATTTCATTACACGTGTCATTGCTAATTGCGATGAGTAGTTTCTGCAACTGACTTATTCCATATGAGAGGTACTCATCGTATGATTATTTTACTTACGTATCATCATCTGTAAAACGCTGTCAATCACGTCTCGTAAACCGTTAATGCCCAGCTCTTGCTACGCTGGGACTCACGCTGTTCCTCGAAGCTTCTCAGAAACGCTTAGTACGAACGGACGCAATAACCAGAACCCAGTTTGGCGACTCGAGAATTATTTATTCTAACACCAACATATGGCCAACTTTACAACTAAGGTCTGTGAACAAGTATTACAATAATAAATCACAATATTACTTCTGACGGTTTTCTCCTGATCTCTTTCTGAACGGTGACCGATGAGACGACGACTGGTGTATTGATGCCTCCGCGAAGATTGGGGAAGTTGGGTTTGAGCAAACAACCATGAATTGATCGTTCAGTCTTCAACTACATTGACAAACGCCTACCAATATTATGTGGATGCATGTGGAACATGTCAAGTGATCCACAACGGAAGGCTCAGCGAGGCGTTTGGAGTAAACACAGGAGTCAGACAAGGGTGCTTACTATCACCAATGATATTCCTAATTGTGGTGGACTGACTGAATTATGCGTCTGACAGTTAGTGGGAAACGAGAAACGGGACAGGGATATCCTGGACCAACGTGAAGAACCTAGAGAACCTGGATTTCGCGCGTGGATGATTTGTGTTTGATGTCACACACAATCGAAGACTTACAAGCGAAAACCGAAAAACTGGTCGAAGAAGCAGCCGGCTAAGACAGGACTCCAAGTGAACATAGACAAGACGGAGGTTATGAAAATAACCAACCAACCAACCAACAAACAACAACAGCAGCAACATACAGCGCCAATCACCATCAATGGGAGGGATTTGAAAGAGGTTACTTCCTTCACTCCACTTATCTAGGGAGCGTTCTCTCAACTACAAGCTGTCGGAATGGACGAGGATGTCAAATCGAGCGAGAATCGGGAAGGCGAGAAACACATTCATCAACCTGAAACCAATCTGGAAATCTTCGTCACTCAGCCAGCATCAACAACGAAATCCGGTCGGATTTTCAATACAAACATCAAGTCAGTCAGTTCTTCTATATGGATGAGAAACTTGTCAGGTGGGTCACAAAGAATATTTCCAACAGGTCACTGCAGACCTTTATCAACCAACAACTGTCTTCCCTGCATCTATACTGAAGATCAGATGGCCGGGGGCCGGAAAGAATCACCAACAAGGAATTATGGGAACAAACAAAACAAGAAGTAATCGCCTAACAAATATGCAGGAGAAAGTGGAGATGGATTGGACACTCGCTGAGGAGGCCACCGGGTGATATCGCGCGTCAGGCCATTGCTCGAGTGGAACCATGACGAAAGGGAAGCGGAGAGTGGGACGTCAGTGCAAGGGTGACATGGAGGAGATCGTGTGAAGAGGAGTTGAAGGAGTATGGACTAACATGGATGCAGGTGAAAAGTACAGCAGAAGACAGAAGCAAGTGGAGACGTGCAGTTGAAGCCCTATGTTCCACTAGGAACCCAAGGGAACAATAATAATAATAATGCGGAACACAGACACATGAACAGAAGACGCTTTCAACAAATGTATACAATTTATTTATCATAAAAGCATCTTATATGCCCAATTCAATCACTCGGTCACATAAAACAAAGAGGACCATGAAAATTAAAAGAGAAAAAGCTCATTTTAGCTTTCATATTCAAATTAACCACCCATTTGTTGTACACCTGAATTGGCTCATTTATAATACAAAAAAAACCCGGATATATTTACATGATTTCAGTATTGTTTAAAAAATATAAAAAAATTCAAAGGTTAATGCTTGCTTAGAAACAAAAGTGGTAAAAGAAAAACGAATTTTTCATTAAAATTACATACATAAAGAATATTATCTTTACAGTTAGATTTATCTATGAGGAAGACTGTTTTTAAGAAAGAACTGAAGGTAACCAATGGGGCAAGTGTTTTTATTCCACTCATTAAATTAAGAATAGTAAAGCCTGCACATGTGAAGGCTTAAGTAACTTTTCTAAGTAGTTTTGAGCTGACCGGGAGAGAATATATATATCCATGATAAACCGACCAGTCTGTTCACGTTTGGTGTTATCTCCATCCTGTTAATGAGCAATTAATGAAATAAATAAGGATGAAATATTAAATTTCGATAAAATAAACACTTTACTAACATTGCTGCCTGTGTACTGATTACATTTCAAACGTAGAAGTGCATATCAGTGGGAATTTTGTCATGAATTAGCACCATATGTATAACCGATAAAAACTGAGAATCACTGGTCATCTTTTTTTGTCTTAAGTAGGCCAAAATTTCCTCATAGTTTTAGGAAACACTTGACAAACGACTCTTTTAGGCAATCTGTTAGCATTCTTCATCTCATTTACGAAGTCTTTAAGCCCAACTCCACGGAAGAAATGACTTCTCAAGTCTACATGCTTCGGTTATTAATAAAAATAAAGCACCTTACAGAAAGCGAATGAAGTCTTTAGCTTTTCGTATTAACACTTGGAAACGGAAGATATTCAAAGTTAGTGGTGTACTAATTATTGCACTTGGACTTGGCAACTATTGAGGTAGTTGGCCCCTTGTAGAAGTGACAGTCAGTTTGAATAACTGCGTAAGTTTACTGCTTTCCAACATAAACAAGTTCAGTGGAATTCTAAGCGAGATACTGAATTGTCGGTGAGTTTATTGTTCAGAGTGGTAAGAATACATTTATGTATTTAGCTCCCTTCAAAAATGTAAATCTCTAATGGATTGATAAATGAGCTATGAACTTCAAAGTAAGCGTAAGAGATGGACAGGATACGTCCAAGAAAGTTTATATTACTCTGATAAATGTTATCTCAGACTAAGGTCTTAAAAAATTTGACACTGAAGGGCCAATCACATTTCGAGGATGCTACAAGAAATCATTTCATATTAAATCCTACCTGTCTTTATGGGTTAGGTAAGGGCAGGTACAGTACTGTACCTATTCCATAGGTACTTTTTCCTTTAAGTCTATGCTATATTATGTAGAGTAAGAGTTGAGGTTTTTAGCTTTCAGGTCAGAAGTAGAGATAGGCTAAAGAAGTGTCAGGAATGTCAATAGATTTTAAATTTCCGCGGTCTGCAATCACCCGGAAGAATACACTTACCGCGTATAGTATAATTTCTATAAGGTACATTCTTTCAACGCCGGAGAGACTATTATCCTGTGCGGTATGATGTTTGCAGTGTTGTTTAGCATATTTTTCTAACGATTATACTACTTTTTAACGTCAGGTTTCCAGTTCTAGGTAGGTGGCTTTGGCTATGATAGTTTAACTTCTCCGGAATATAGGGCTTCAACAACACATCTCCACTTTGTTCTATTTGGTGCTGTCCTCTTCAGCTGGGCGCACAACTGCCCATGACCTCTCATCGCCTCTTTGCCACATGATCTCCCCCCATGTCATCCTCTTACTGACAACCTACTCATCTTTTCCCATTCAGATTCCACTTGGGTAATGCTCTGTATTGAGCGTGATGTCATTTGATGGTCTCCTTGCTCAACACATGCTTAATCCATCTCTATTTTCTCCTACATATTTATTGAGCAATCGACTCTAGGTTAGTCTGTTCATCACGAGAGTTTCTTGTTGCTAATCCTTTCTGGTTGGCCAGTAATTTGATCTTCGGTATGGAATCAGCCAGCAAAGTGGGGAGCTGTTGATGAAAGTGTGTAACCCTGTTGGTGGAACTGCTTTTCGTGACACGCAGTGCAGGTTTCTGACCCGTAGAGAAAAACTGACTGATTTCACATTTGTGTTTCATAGAATTCGAATCTTGTTGTTGTCCATGCTGAGGCAGAGTGCAGTGCAGATTTCCAAACTGGTTTCAGATTGAAGAAAGCGTATCTTACTTTACTGATCCTAGCTGGCTTTGACATTTTCATCCGTGCCGTGTGCCTGTGGGTGGTTGAGACTTGCTTCCTAGCCGATTAAGTGAAGGAAGTAACCTGTGGTGATTGACAATTTCTATCTCTGTATTGTTTAAAATACTTACTGTTGACTGTTGATATGTTTCTTATATGAATTGCATAATAATTCCGCTAAATACAAATTCCTGAATTCCGCCCTCTCTGTGTTTTGTTTAGATTCTTATAATTCCGTCATCTCGAAAATCTAATACTTCAAGTACAATAAATTACTACAAATTGTCGCGATGGAGCTAAGTAACCTGGGAAAATTTCCTCTTAATGGTTCTCCGCGGGAGATTGCTGATTATTTGGAATGCTTCGATGCGTGGTGCATTTCAAAGAATGTTCGGGATGACAAAATACCTGCTCATTTCATCACAGCTATTGGGCTTGATGCATATAGCCTGGTGAAGAATCTGGCATTTCCAAATAAACCCATTTCTATGTCATATGACAAGATTCGTGAACTTCTGACAAATCACTTTCATGTGACTACATTTGAGACCAGAGAGAGGGCTCAATTCAACAAACTGGTACGTTCTCCCAACCAGAAGATACGAGAGTTCATTCTTCAACTTCAAATTCAAGCTTCAAAGTGTAACTTTGAAGATCAGCTGCATACTCAACTACGTGATCGTCTAATTACTGGAGTCAATATTCCTAAGTTAGAGAAAGAGTTAATTCAGATTCCTTCTTGTACCTTTCAAACTGATAAAGATTTATGTATTACATATGTAGATGTCAATAATGAATACTCTGCACCCACTACGTCAGTATCTGATGTCATGCTGTCCAAAGTCGAAAATACAAGTGTTCATGGGAAGAAATCCAAACTGCCGTCCACAGGTAATAGAATGCAGCGAGAGATCAAAAACATTAAACCGTGCTTTTCCTGTGGAAAGTTACATCTACGAAGCACTTGCCGTTTTCGGAGTGCTAAGTGCCATAAATGTGGTAAAGTTGGACACATCAAGACTGTTTGCAGAAGTTCGAATACATATGTTGCTCAACATTCTTATAATTCTCCCAAGCTGTCTAGTAAAATGGAGTCAATGTGTCTTTCAACCTTTCAAAATACTCAATCTCATCCGATGAAAACCTCCACTACAAGTTCGGCAACTCAAGTGTCAACTGTTTTCAAAGATGAGGTAGCTGAGTTACAGTGGGAACTGTCGAAGACACGAAAAGACCTGAATGAGATGAGAGAGCAACTGATTAAAATTGAGGAATTACTGCATATGCATAGACTGCAACTGTTGAATGCAGAGCATACAAGTACCCGTGAAAGTCCTGCAAAACTATTCAAATCTCGAATTCTCAAGAAGCGTCTGATGTCCACGACTTCTAATGTACATTATTACAAAGGGAATGACTATAGACCTTCTGTTGGAATTATACTTCAAAAAATGGGAAATCGAGTGGTGAAGATATTAGACATCAAAGATCACCCAGTTCATAACGGACACCTGGACAAAGTGACAATAAATGAAGTAGGTCGTTCCAATTATAATATTATTGATTCCGCTAATAATCCTGATTTTGTAGATAATTCAGAAATAAGTCCAGATTATACTGATGGAAATGATATCACAGAATCAGTTAGGTCGCAGCTACTTGCAAGCAAACCGAGACATCGTTATAAATACGCGAGGAGATATTCGAGGTGTGGCGGATGTGGTGATTGACAATTTCTATCTCTGTATTGTTTAAAATACTTACTGTTGACTGTTGATATGTTTCTTATATGAATTGAATAATAATTCCGCTAAATACAAATTCCTGATTGCTGCCCTCTCTGGGTTTTGTTTAGATTCTTATAATTCCGTCAGATCGAAATACTAATACTTCAAGTACAATAAATTACTACATAACCCCTGTCAAATCTCTCCTGTTGATGGTAATTGGTGCTGGTTGTTCTTACTGTTTCTGTTGGTTGGTTGTCTTCATCACTTCTGTCGTCACTAAGTTCACCTGGAGTCCTGTTTTCTCTGCCCACCTCTTCTGCCAGTTTGTTACTTTTCGAGTGCGAGCCTTCGATACTGTGTGACATTGGATACAATATATATATATATCATCAAAGCACGAAATCCAGATCTTGTAGTCCAGCATATTCCTCTGTTCTCAATCTATCTGCACTGTGGGATGCAAAATCTAGTCCACCACGATTAAGAATATCATTGTGGGTGATATTACGCAGCCAGCTGTGTCTTACTCCTGTTCTAACTTCGAACACCTCTTTGAGTTTTCCGTTGTAGATCACCTTACACGTGGCATCATCATATCAGCTAGGTGTTGAATGAGGTTGATAAAGATTTAGGCACTGTATACCGTAGTGTTGAAGTAGTTTCCAAATTACTTCTTGGTTAATGCTGTCTGATGAAGGTCTTTTCGAAGTCGATGAAGTTAAAGTACAGGTGTGACTGTAATTCTATGCTCTAGATGTTTGACAACTAAGGTGTATGTAGTTATTTTGAAGGCCTTTATATGGTCAGCCTGCTATGACAGATATAGCAACCTTTCGAACAAGATTATAATGAAGTCACAGAATTCAATAGTTTTCAGATGATTTGTACTCTACTGGTGGTTAAAACAATGAAGCATCTGAATAACACTATCATAAATGAACGCGTTTGTGTGAATTTATCTGAGTACGAAGTACAGTTTTAGCAGAATAAAATGGTACTGCAGTGCATACTGTACCCTTGAACTTTTGTTTAAACTTGCTCACCCATGGTTTGGCACATCTTTATCTTTTGCATTGTGTCTCTTCCGTACGTTCATTGGTACGCTCTCTCGTTGTGCATTCATTCTGCACACTCTCAGAGTCTACCACCAGTGACGTCAGCAGATAAGTTGTACAACCTCTTTATTTATCAGATTTCATATTTCGTCTGTGTAAAATATAACTGTCCCGGACACACTTGTCATATCAAATCTTTTTACCCTGATTCGGTTCGTCAGTATTTGCACGTTAAGCAGAGTACAGCTAAGGTCATAAAACGGCGAAGAAGTTTTGTAAGAGTGTTTAGAATTGAGGTCTACCCTAAGTTGTAATAAACCTTACAGTACCATCATTGTTTATTTCGTTGCCTTCTCATCAGCTGCTTACAGGCCAAAGGCATTATTAAATATATCTACAAAACAATTTTAACAATTTTAAACAAAAATCAATCGATCAATATACGCATACACTAATAATATATACATATATAAATATGCAATACTGAACACTATTCCGAACAATAATGATGATACACAATGGAACCTTTTCAGCATTTCGCATTCGGATAAAAGAGAGATGAAAAATATCCAGTTATCAGAGCAAAGAGAGACTGATAACCACTTCTTTCTGGACGCATAAATCAGGTTTCAGGCGCTTGATGAAAATGGCTTCAGCAAATTCGAAAAGAATCTAGCTCTTTTGCCCATTGATAATTTTGAACGACTTTTCCACGTCCACCTCATGAACCGTGTGGAGGAGATGCCTGGCGATTGCACTGTTTAAAGAATTTGTTCCCTTTAGATGTAAGATTTTTGGTACATGTTCAGAAAATCGTAGATATGTCCTTCTTTCTGTACTTCCAATATAACTGCTCCCACAGATACATGTAAATTTGTATATACAGTTGGAGTTAATTAACATGAGAAGGATATCTATCGGTTTTTGACTGCACCATTGCTATTTCCATTAAGCGACTGAATCCTGATTTATGCGTCCAGAAAGAAGCGGTTATCAGTGTTTCTTTTCCCTGCCTTGTAACTGGATATTTTTCATCTCTCTTTCATCGGAATTCGAAATGCTGGAAAGGTTCCATTGTGTATCATCATTATTGTTCGGAATAGTGTTCAGTATTGCATATTTATATATGTATATATTATTAGTGTATGCGTATATTGATCAATTGATTTTTGTTTAAAATGAACTCTGTGCAAGTATGTCAAAATTGTTTTTGTAGATATATTTAATATTGTCTTTGGCCTGTAAGCAACTGACGAGAAGACAACGAAATCAGCAATGATGGTACCATTTTATTCTGCTAAAACTGTATTTCTTGCTTTGTTCAAATTCATTAAGTGGAATAAATTTATGGAATTACTTGAGTACTTTAGCACCATCTTGTATATCAAAAGCATCATTTATCATATGGTACTAGTAAATATGAAGACAGTGTAGTGTATTCTCTGATGTGTGTAACACAAAACAGTTTTCACCGTGAGATTTTTAACTCATAAAACATTGAAGATAACAAAGCAAAACCAATAATCCTTTTAATACTTACGTATTAGCAATGATTATTCATTCTGAAGAAATATACACACACACTTTTCCGTAGAATAAGATTCCTTTCACCTGTTCAATATTCACTATTGAGCATTTGTTTAAGTGAATTCGCTTGAACACTTAAACATTCATTTCTTCATCATCATCATCATCATATTCGTCATCCTCATATTCCTTATTACTGTCATTACTGAAAATTAATTCATTCTTAGCGGTGACAACTGTTTTTGAATTGTAAAAATCATTAATATACTGCATATATTCAGTCCTATAGATTGGCTTAATAATTTCTTTGCATCCTCCAGTGATAATATTCCCCTGATTTGAGCGTGGACAAAGCCATGGAGTGTGTAAACAACAAGGAAAGATCATTCTACTACTTTCCCGGTTTAATGGCAATAATTCCTTTGTGTTCACCTCATTGTGACTATTAGTTTTTATCTGGGAAGGTTTACCTTGAATGTCGATAAACGGATTTGAATAATAATAATAATGGGTTGATTCAATGTCACAGACAGTTGTATCTTTCTGCTGAGTAACTGGACCAATTTTATTCCAATCCATGTCGACTTCATACTCTTTCTCTTCAATTGCCTTGGTTGGATGTTGAAGATGATGGGGGCAACAGATAGGATTCTTGTCATTACTGATTGTTCCACTGTGACCTTTGATAGTACATCGAAGTTGTAAGCACTCTGATTTGGAGCGGTGATCTGTGAAATATGATTGTTTTCTACGTCTATTATTGGCATTTTGGATATTTTCAGCAGTTCTATTACTACTACTACTACTTGTTGTACAATAAGTATTATGTTTCGCTTCATTACTAGTTAGTGGGTTATCACAGAAATGATAGACAGTAAGTTTGTTGTTTATATTCTGCAGATTATCTTGATCGACGTCTTCTCCAGTAGATTTGATGTTTTCGTTGTCATGGCAACACAGTAGTATGTAACAACTGTGACAACTGAGAATGTTGTGATAATACCATAAAGAACTGCAAATAATTCCACTTATCAGGCAGATGATAAGAACTCCAAGGGTTATTGAAAATCTAGTGCATACTGTCTCCGATTTGCATTTAAGGTCTGGTGAATAAAAAATAACCAAAAATAGATGAATTAGAGGAAATTTTATGAGTATTTTTTGTAGTAATTTGCCGACCACTTCGATACTACTCATCATTTATGAGTAATAGACATCTAACATAAAATTAAGTCCATAAGGAAGGATTTTTCAAGTGAATCGCATCAGAATATCTAATCAGTTTTACGTATTTAATAGAAAGTAAGTTAGAATCGGTCGACACACTACTGGGTGGAGTGTTGTAATATTCATATATCACAGATGCTTAGTCCATTTCCCATTATAGATAGTAATTAACAAATAGCTTATTTCTTTCAAATTTGGTTAGAGAATCACTGAGAATCAGTAGGGAGTACTAGATATATGTTTCTTCCTGGTACGTGACTTTTCAACAGCATGCAACCTTAAGGGTTCAAACACAGGATCTTCCAGTTAAAAAGTAAGATCGTAGACCATTCAGTGAATAGGACTCAACTCAGTGCTCATTGATTCTAACTTGTGCCAGTTCATGACTTCAGCGTGACCATTAGTCGGTATCATGAAGGAGTATTTGCCCTCACATCCAGCCAGGTGGACGCAACGACTTGCCAAGACTTCTCAACAAAATTTCAGGCAACTTTGTCCTTTAGACGGTCCCCAGCCACTCAGTATTCCAGTGGCAAAATGGTCTACAAGCTTCTGTTGGGACCGGTTGGTGTTGGGTTTGAATCCTGGTAGATGCGTCCCGTCGACAAGTCCCGAAATGGAACGAAACGGCTATCCAGTATTCCCTGATGGATTTGAATGACTATTTAACTGGTAGCAATCCGTGATCAAACCTGAAACAAATCAGATTCCTACGAACAAACTCTTGGGAGTTTATCTGTTATATTTTTTGTGTTTTTATGTTTCTCTAGCGACTGAATTGATTTTCTGGGGTGGGATCGCTAGCCCCCCACCACTGACATTTCTGATTGTGGCGGACTGAATTATGCAACAGGTCGTGAGCAGCGAGAAGATGGGTGTATGTTGAACTGACAACAAGACTCGAAAAGACTAGCATCGCACAAACTCACAAATTTACAGGCCTAAAGCCAAACGTTGACAGAAGCGGGTAGCTAAGACAGCACCTTAGGGGTGAATATAAAGATAACAGAGGTAATGAAGATACTCGACTGTCAGTAGCAAACACAATCACCAAGAAGTTGTTTTTTCGACTTACTAAACCAAACAGCTTCGTTTCAGCTACAGGCAGATTGCACGAATCAGGATCGGGAAAGAGAGATTGAAGTTCATTACTCTAAAATCTATGCTCGGATCTATAGCATTGAGAACAAGCAACAGTATCTGAATTTTCAACACTAATTTGAATTCGATGTTTCTAAATGTATCACAGACTTGAACAGAGCATCAAAGAAAGCATTTCCAACTGGCTACTTCAGACTATCACCGACAGCTTCCCTCTTCATTCGGTACTCAGAATCAGGTGGAAGATTCGAAGGCATAATCAACAAGGAACTCTTGCAATACATCAATTAAGAATTCACTACCCCAAAAATATGCAATAAGAAATAGAGGCGGATCTGACATTTTCTGAAGAGATTGCTGATTTAAACACCAGGCCCTTGTGCGGAACCCGAATAAGAAGAGTAGAGTTGGGCGTGCGTTCAAGGGTGACATGAAGGAGATCGCGTGCAGAGGGAATGAGAGCTTGTTGGCAGCCATACAGTCAGCTTAAAAAGACTCAGAATATGATTTTTAAGATGCATGCCAAGTAATCCACAATAGGAAACTCACGGAATCCTTCGAAGTGAAGACGGGAGTAAGACAAGCTGGCTGGCTGCCTACTTTCTCCAATTATGTTCCTGATCGCGGTATACTGGATAATGCGATAGATAGCGGTGGGCAGCGAGGAAACAGGCATGAAATGGACTCACACAAAACAAGAACTTGGAGGATCTGGACTTCGCCAACGATGATATATGTCTGATTTCCCACAAACTGGAAGATATGCAAGTAAAGAGCAACAAGTTAGCAATAGAAGAAGCATCAAAGATAGGACTTCAGGTGAAGATGGAGAAAACAGAGGCAGGTGATGAAGATTCCTGGCCAACAACAACAGCAACAACAACAGACAACAATCAGTCAGCATAAATGGGAGGAAACTGAAAAAAACAACCTCCTTCACCCACCTACCTGGGAAGCATCGTCTCAACTACAGGCGGACGGAACTGATGAGGATATCAAAGCGAGGATCGGAAAAGCAAGACAAGCTTTCATTACTCCCACCAAGTCTGTGTCGAGATCAACAGCACCCAGCATGAAAATGAAAATAAGATCCGGATTTTCAACTCCAATGTAAAGTCAGTCAGTGCTACTCACTATACGGATCAGAGACTTGGCTCGTCATGAAGAGCACCTCAAACAAACTACAGACCTTCATGAACTGCTGTCCTCGCTTTATACTACTCAAGATCAAATGGCTGGACATGATCAGAAACAGGGATCACTGACAATGAGTGGACCAACACAGCAGGAACCGATTGTGCAATAAATAAGCAGGAAGAAATGGAGATGGATTGGCCATACTCTGAGAAAACAAACCATCAAGTGACATCACATACCAGGCCATCGGTCGAGTGGAACCCGAATGAGAAGTGGCGAGTTGGTCGTCAGTGTGAGGGTGGGGTGACATGGAGGAGATGATATGAAGAGGAGATGAAAGCATGTGGGCAGGCATGGAGCTAGGTGATGAAAACGTTAGCGGAGATCCGAACGCAATGTAGACGTATGGCTGAAGCCCTATGTTACTCTAGGAACTAAGGGAAACAAATAATAATAATGATTTTTAAGAAACTGTATCCCACCATGAAATTTAAACAAAAGTCGTGAATCTCTTATAATTATGGTGTAAAATACAATGCAATATTTGTAATTGCAATCCTAGTTCAAGAATAACAAGCGACAAAATAAATTACCTAGTCCATAAAATATGTGATAGAATGTATATTTCTTGGATAGATGTGTAAAATTAACAGGATTGGAAGGCAATCAGAAAAGCTATCTAACATGGTGAGAATTTAAAAAAAGATAGATTTAAACATTGTGAAAGCTATAACGAATCGAAATAACAATAAAGAAGACAAGTGAAATAACACCGGAAAGTGTTCATAGTGAAAGCCATAGTGAAATTCATCCATCCTTTCTATTCTACGGTCAAGGTAGAAATAAGTACTGTGAAAACTTCTTTTTTTTAAAAAAAATAAATGTCTGCGCTGAATTTATGAATAGCCAAGGCCTCTACTGTCTTTAGAAGTTTGAGACATAGGAAACGAGATAAGTCAGCCTGAATTCACTGGATGACCTTCAATTCATGATTGGCGTTGATTGAGTGACAGAAGTCGATCAAGTATTCCTGAATAGATATTCTCACACCCTTTCCTTTTTACTTTGTCAAGTCATGCCAGAAATGTGCTCTCGTATCTCTGTGGGAGGCATCCTTTGTCTACAACCAATTCACCTAGCTCCATAAGAACAGTTGAACTGATAGATGTACATGGAAACGACCAGATGAGATACAAAGACGGAGGTTTAAGAAAGCTGACCCAATGAATTTCGAATCATTTACTAACAACAAGAAAGACCATTCTTAGTATCATAAACATAGAAAGCATTTATGAAGACAAAGATAACCGATAAGTCATTTTGACATTCAAACCTAAAATATGTCTGTGCATAGCTTAAATTTCTTTTTAGTTTCTGTTCAGTAAAACAAAATTGAAAAAAAACTTACTTACTTATACTTTTAGTTTGAGTAAATGTTGAAGAAGGAATTGAATTGTTCCAGAAAATCTTCATATGAACAGTTTTAGTCAAGATATATATTTCTGGGTAGATATTATCTTCTGATTTGTGTAAATGATACGTGCTATGAGGTGTCAGGTTTGTGAAGTCGTTATTCAATGGTGACTACAAAATAAAGAATAGGCAGGCAAATTGTTTGAAGAGGAGAGAGACACTATTAAGTACTATTTCTGGTGTCAGATGTCGACTGCTTCTTCGACCAGTTTGTCGGTTTTCGCTTGTAAGTCTTCGATTGTGTGTGACATCAAACACAAATCATCCACGCGCGAAATCCAGGTCTTCTAGGTTCTTCACGTCGGTCCAGGATATCCCTGTCTTCTCGTTTCCCACTCACTGTCTGACGCATAATTCAGTCAGTCCACCACAATTAGGAATATCATTGGTGATAGTAAGCACCCTTGTCTGACTCCTGTGTTTACTCCAAACGCCTCGCTGAGTTTTCCGTTGTGGATCACTTGACATGTGCCGTTGTCGTACAGCTGTTGAATAAGGTTGATGAATATTTGGGGTACGCCATAGTACTCGAGTAATTTCCAAATTACTTCACGGTCAACGCTGTCGAAGGCCTTCTCAAAGTCTATAAAGTTGAGGTAGAGGTTTGATCGCCATTCCATGCTTTGTTCTGTGATGATGATGCGTAGAGTTGCAATTTGGTCAGTACATGATTTGCCTTTCCTGAATCCAGCTTGTTCTGGTCGGAGTTCTGTCTCCAGTGCGTCCTTTAATCTCTCCAGGATGATGCGACTCAGGATTTTACTTGGCGTCGATAGGAGCATGATTCCTCGCCAGTTCTTGCAGAGTGAGGCCTAAGTCGCCCTTCTTTGGTAGTTTCACGAGGTAACCTTTCCTCCAGTCAGTAGGCACCTTTCCCTCCTTCCAGACCTTTTGCAATAATGGAGTCAGCATGTCTGCTGTCGTCTCTGGGTCCGCTTTCAGTGCTTCAGGGGGTATTCCATCTGGTCCGGCTGCTTTTCCAGCTTTCAGAAGCTTGATTGCGTTCAAGACTTCAGCTCTCGTTGGAGGATTGGTGTCAACTTGCAGTTGTGTACGCGCTGTTGTTGGTATTTCTGGACGGGTTGCAGGTGATGGTCGGTTCAAGAGTCCTTTGAAGTGATCCGCCCATTGTTTAATCTGTTTTTCTTCCTTGGTAATTGGGTTCCCTTGGCTGTCTTTTATAGGTTTCGCTTGTGTTGATCTCTTCCCGGATAGAGATTTGGTTATCTGATATAGTGTCCTCAGGTCCCTTTTGCCTGCTGCCTTCTCAGCTTCAGTGGCTAGGTTGTCGTAGAATCGTCTTTTGTCCTTCCTAGCACTCTTCTTCACTTCTTTGTCCAGTGCTTTGTAAGTTGAGCTCAGCGTCTCCTTCTCCTGTCCGTCCTTGCATTGAATCATTTTCTCTTTCACCATTCTCCTCTCTTCTATTAATTTCCAAGTGTCCGTTGAGAGCCATTCCTTGTCTTGTCTCTTCTTTCTTCCTAGAACCGTTGAACACGTTTCGTTGAGAATCGCCTTCAGAGACTTCCAATGTTCTTCCACGCATGATTCTTCAGTGATGTCGCGTAGTGTTTCCTGCTTTGCTCTGACAGTTGCAGTGAAAGTGTCTTTTGTGGTTGTGTCCTTCAGTAATTGAGTGTTGAACTTGCATTGTGGCCTATCCCCAGCTATCCTCGAGGCTTTTAGTTTCACCTTGAAAGTCCCTTCTACTAGATAGTGGTCTGAACCCACATCTGCTCCTCTCCTTGACCTTGTGTCCAGTAGGCTCCGTCTCCACTTTCTTGAAATTGAGATGAAGTCTATTTGGTTCTTGGTGTTTCCATCTGGTGAAATCCATGTCGTCTTGTGTATATCCTTGTGTTTGAACACACTACCACCAATCACCAAATCATTGAAGGCGCAGAAGTCTGAGAAGAGTTCACCATTGTCGTTCATTTCGCCGAGGGCCTCACGACCCATGGTGAGTTCTCTTCCTGTGTTGTCTCCTCCCAGCTTCGCATTCATGTCGCCCATCAGGATTTTGATATCGCCATTTGGGACGTTGTCCATTATTGCTTGTAGTTGTCTGTAGAACGCCTCCTTCTTCTCTTGTTCTGAGACGTTTGTAGGCGCATAGCATTGAATGACTGTAACTTTCCTTCCTTTTGAGTTGAACCTGGCTGTCATTATCCTGGAGGAGATTGGTTCCCACTGCATGAGAGCTTTGGTTGCTGTTGGTGACATCATGATGGCCACTCCCTCGGTGTGCTCATGGTTGTCCTCTGGGTGGCCGGAAAAGATTACTGTCTCTCCAGTAGGTAGTTGGCACCTTCCAGTTCCGTTCCATCTGCTTTCGCAGATTCCCAACACTTCTATTCTATACCTTCTCATTTCAGCGGCTATCTGGGCAGCCCTTCCAGTTTCGTACATTGTACGAACATTCCAGGTACCCATCCTTACTTTTGCTTTCATCGAAAGAAGGCACATCGGCTGACTGGCTTCCCGAAGGCTTTCACCAGCCTGCGTCATTTCACTTCCCCGATTCCAGCGAAAAGTAAGGCTATTGCTTATGTTTTTAGAATTTTTAATATGTTTATTCGTTGAAGTTTCTGTAGCGATTTGGTTGTTTTACAGGGGTGGAGTTGCTAGCACCACGCCCCAACCCTCCCTGTTTACGCGGGCTTGGGACCGGCTAGAAAACTAGTAAGCTAGTAGCCTAGCAAGCTAGTATCTGGCGAGGTTCCTTGAATTCTAACTCTTGTCAATTCACGACATAGCGCAACCACTTCACAATGTCTTCTTCGATGAGTTACCGCCTCATCTTCAACCTGTTATGCCCTACTGGTCACGGATTCCCACTTGATCTCCAGTGTAACTGTCTGAATAGGGAGAGTCACTAGTGAGCATCAGATTAATTTTCAAGTGGGTGGGTGCGCACTAGGACGAAACAGCTGTCCAGTACTCCCAGGTTTTCTAGTGGTTCTTTAACTGATGTCAGCTCATGATGAAATCCTCCATAAAGATGTTATAGTAAATAGAATAGCAAATGAAATTCAAAAAATTTCCATAACAAATTGAGGATCAATAAAGCCTTGATGGACTAGGTAAGGACAGTGTTTGAACAGACCAACTACTTTTGCATACATACGTTAGGTTTCTTAATGTGGATGCCAAACGGCCTCAACACTATTTAGTAGGCGAACTCTTAAGGTAAAATTAATTAAACTTGGCTGATATACGGTAGATGACTTTGAAAGGCTTGTAAGCATCAATCTTGTGTTCTGTATTCACAAAATGAGGCAGAATAGAGCTATGAATAGATTTTTGTTTGTCCTTTATTTATCTGCGCAGTGTGATGTTCGGAGATTCGACGAAAAAACACATCTAGTTGTATAGTCTATGTAACTGGCTCCACAGGACCAGTTAAACTGATAGATACACATAGAAGAGTAGAAATCAAGCAGTTTATTTTTAATTCTCGAACTCGAAATATGGGTGGTTTCGAAGACACACTTACTTACTTACTTTACTTCGGCTCTCTCCTACGGGAGGATGAACCGGCTTCACGAACATCTCGAATGTTTGTAAGAGAGTTGATGAAGTTTCATGGGAATTGGGTACGAGTGATGTCCCCAGCATCGCTCGGCCTTTTGTTTCAGAGTGCAGCTCTAGCCTTTACACAACCAAGTGTGACCTACAAGACAGTAGGAGTGGAGTAGGGAGTCCACTATCCATTGGCAGCCGGTGACCGAAGTCCGGTTCATACGCCTTTTTGAATGGGGCCAGACATACAGGGCATCCAATAAGCCCTTTTTCCATACGTCTGCCGGTGAACTCCGGTGATCTTCATACGCCAGTCGTTGGAGGTTTGGAATCAGGGTTTAGCCATCTCCCCTAGACTGTCATCCAATGGACAGTCAACCCGGTGAAGAGCGCCAGGCATCCGCTTTCGAAGACACAGCATAATTCATCAGCATTGAATGCTGTTTTCACCTCATTCCTTGAACAATGCGTTAATATTTCACTGATGTTATCCCCGAGGAAATGAATTTGTAAGAATAAAGCTTTTTTAGAAACTGTTGGTACCTTGAGCTGCCTTGATTTTTAATTCATATTCTTATTGATTAATTTTTCTGGATAACCATTCCAACCCAGCAGCTGCTTAATTATATCAAGCCCTTCATTAAGAGATTCATCAGAGCAGATTGCTCTTGCTCTATTGACCAGGCGCTTTATAAGATATCGTTGGTATTTCAAAGACACACGAAGCTGAAAAATGAGTATACTGACAATCACTTGATGTAGGTTTTCTATATACACTTCATTTTATCACACCGTCCTCTTTTCCAGTCCTAAGGACGTCTAGGAATGAAATAGTAGTCTCTTTCTATCTCGACTGTAAAATTTATTGCGCTATTCTATCAAGTCATGTGAATACAGAACACAAGATTGGTGTCAACCAGGTTTTCAAGGTCTTTTTTTATTGTGGCTTGATTCCACACTGTCTTTTTGATACATGTATGGAATTTTCAGCATGTGATATCGGTGGCCAAAATTTAGTAGGCCAACCAGTGATGTTAGGTGTGGAACGGCCGAGGACCGTACCTCGGACCATGTGCATGGTCAGCGAGCATCCTAACCGCCATGCCACTGTATAACAACTAATCTTAACTTCACCTTAAGAGTTCATCTACTAAATATTGCTGAGGCTGGCTGTTGGGATCCACATTAAGAAGCCTAATTTATGTATCCAAAAGAAGCTAGTTCTGACATTATCATTACCTTGGTCATCTAGGTTTGAATAATCCTGAGTTTTGTGGAATTTTCCAAATTTTAGTTGACATTCTATTTGCTACTATATTTTTTTATTATTATTATTTAAGCATATTTAATGAGCTGTAATTCCATTGTGATCTTACTTTACAAATCAATATTATTTAAAAAACACTAATATTGTTATTGACTACTAATCTAGAATATTCTATGTATAATAAACCTATATAAATGATTGTAGAGTCAGAGGGGGAAATTATCGAAAAGGATATTTACTTTAATATTACATTTTCATATACATTATCACGCTTACAAATAATTGGACAGCTGGGAAAATAGTGCCCTCAATACATTTAACCCTACTCCGAAAATATGGTGGAGATATGTGGATGACACTTTCACAGTGTTAAAAACAGAACACATCTCTAGCTTCTTGACACATATAAACTCACAAGTTGAGGGAATAAAATTGACATTGGAAACAGAAAATGAACTAGGAGAATTAACTATGTTAGATTGTAAAATAAAACGAAGAGAAGAAGGCAAACTACACACTAGTGTTTATGGAAAACCAACGCATTCTAATAGATGTTTAGACTTTAATTCATCTAATCCGTTAACTGTTAAGGCAGGCTTAGTCAAATGTTTAACAAACCGAGCAGTGGCACTAAGTAGCACAAAAAAAGATCTAAATGATGAATTAAAACAGATAGAAGAAGCGTTGGTGTTGAATAACTATCCTATAAAATTCATTAGGAAGATCATTAAAGGCCAAAAACACAATTAAAAATAATTGTGAAACTAGTAATAATAACATAAATAAGAAAGAATATAAGTCATCCACAGTTATACCATATAAAGAGGGGACATCTGAGACACTACGTAGGATTCTGAATAAAGTAGGAATTAGGGTGGCATTTAAACCTACAAACTCACTCAGGGACAAGCTCTGTAGGTTAAAGGACCCAGCTGACCCAATTAGACAAAATAATATTATTTACAAAATACCATGCAATGACTGTGAGGTCAACTACATAGGTCAAACTAGTAGGTCAGGGATAGTCAGATTATCAGAGCATAAGAATTAAGCTAAGGTTAGAATGGTTGACCCCGAGAAGATAAGTAATTTAGAAAAAAGCTCAGCAATTGCAATGCATGCGTTAACACACAACCACACAATAGGGTGGGAGAGGGTTAAAATTCTAAAAAGTAATCTAGGTAGGTGGAGAGAGAGGTTGATTACTGAATCCTTGTTCATCGAGTCTACACCCAACACATGCAATAGGAATGACTCGTCACTCATACCTGAAATATGGAAAATACTATTACCAATCAAATCAAGTGAAAATCAAGAGAAAAACAATGGAAGAATATAAATGAATTTAGGAAGTCGTGTGAGTAGTGTCTTGATATGATTATGAGCAGCAATAAATTGTGCTCGAAACGTCATCAGTAAACATTACTGTATAACACTGTGAGACTTTATCAAAACAAAATTTACCCATAATGGAATTACACTCTACCACAGTGCACAAGTTTTATTCTTATATCAATTGTTCACTAATAAGTCTTTGACAATTTCTAATGGGCATCTTAAAACACTTTTCTAATAATGCAGAAAGAATATATCGATAGATAGTGGGAAGATTTATTACCGAGAGGAGTTTGATATTTTAAAAGTAAATAATCACCGCCTTCTTACCCATGTACACCATTCATAGCGTTGACAAACACGAAATATACAATTGATTTGTAATTCTGATATAGTTGTGTAATTCCCCGTTGAATATAAATAATAATAATAATAATAATCTTCGATTTCTTCGGATGGGGATTTCAACCCACTGACAGAGGAAGTATTTCTCAGTATACTTTTGTTATCTATATTTTGAAGATATTCACTTAGTGAGAATTTGAAACTCCCATAAGTTAACAGTTGATGTGAAGCAAGTTTTATGCCTGTCACATTGCCAGATGAATGAATCAAGTAACTGCATAAAAATGTAAAATGAGAATCGAATAAAAGGAGTTTTCACAATTAATTTTTTGAAAAAATACACCACAACTTTAATTTACTTTTTTTTTTTGATTACAACTTGATTCCACACTGTATTTTTGGTACAAGTATGGAATTTTCAGCATGGGATATCGTTAGCCCAAATTTGCAGGCCGACCATATACAGGTATGCATCGGCAGGGGGTCGAACCTCGGACCATGTGCATGGTCGGCGAGAGTCCTAGCCACTGTGTCAACGATACCCATTAAAAAAGAGTTTGAAAGAGTTATCTATCCAAATCAGCAATAATCCCTTCTTTATCAGGTTCTACATTTATATGACCATAATAATTATAGAAATATTGCTACTAACAAATCAATATTGTTTTGATATTGATATTGATTGTATAACAGATTATGTTTTAAAAGAATTAGTAGGAGACAGATACAACATACGTTAATATAACTTGGGGTGAGAACTAGCTGCTAGCCAAAATTGGTAAACAGTAATTTACGTCAATGTTTACTTCCTCAATATTGGTCGTGAGAAAAATAAGAACAAAGATTGATTCACCAGCTGATCACAGCAGACTTTTGCGTAGGTGGATAAAATTTGCACAAAGAGATGAAAGATTAACTTTCAGCGAGAAACCACCAATCAGAAGACTGTGTTTTTTTGCTTACAATAATCTATAATAATATACATGAAAATATATAAATATGTGTGTTGATTTCCTAAATAAACGATCTGTTGCCTGGCGCTTGTCTTCTGTTGTTACATTTGATGTCGCTGCCTACCGACAAATGGAAAGCCTATGCCCTGCAGTTTTTGATGGAGATATATGGATCTTCGAGCAGGACTTCGAGGCTTTTGCGCAGAGGCTGTTACTTGAGACGCTGATGGGAGGTCGGAAGAAAGCAGCATATGAAAGTGTGAGGCGAAAAACTGACGAATGTGTGACCGAGTCAGGCAAACAGTTTCCAAAGTGAGAAGGACCACATATGGTCACCTTGAGATGGGGTTACGTAGACACAGTCGCAATGGCAAGCAAAGAGAAACAGGTGAACATCAGTGAGTGCCGAGATTCCAGACAGCAAGACAAACTAACAAAGCCCTTAGAACCAAGAAAACCGAACCAACTTCAGTCGCAAGTCTTTGCCGGGGGGCCGAGTGTGTTGAGAGCTGGCAGTTAGTCAAAATTGGTAGACAGTAATTTACGTCAATATTTACGTCCGTAATATTGGTCGTGTGAAAAGTGAAAAGAAAGGCTTTGCGTAGGTGGATACAGTTAACATATAGATGATCTGACATTCAAGAAACAGCCACAAAGAGATGCAAGGTTAACTTTCTATGAGAAACAACCAATCATAAGACTGTGTTTTTCTGCTAACACTAATCTATAATAGTGTACATGAAAATCTATAAATATGTGTTGACTAACTGAATATCAGATAAACTGAGGGCAGGAACACACTTGTCAGTGTAGTGGGTAATTGTGACTACTTAATAGGATATTATCTACTATTCAGTAATGTGTTGTTGTTTGTTGTGTAACAATATTAATCCCTATAATTCTAATTAAAAACTGAATACTCACTTTCTTTGAACAAAAATGATTATTTTCTGTGGATGTATATCCGAAGACAAAGTGCTAAATGAACATTGATCAATACTCAAATATTTGTACGATGCTAAAATGCAAAACAAACAATTTGTACACTTCATTTAATATCGAAATTTAATATCGAAATAGAAATATAGTGAATAGGATTCTTGATTTCTAAGTAAACATTAGTAATCATTATACAACTATTTATCGTGCACTTATGGTGCCATTTGTATTTCCCATACTTTGTGACACTGAAATCTCATTGGTTGTGCGTTTGATATCATCCATTATAGTGTATCTTTGGGATCTCTGCTATTTTTTTAATTCATGAAAAATTCCCCATAGAAAATCAAAGCAAGTGATTCGGCTAAGAGACTCTTTCCAACGAATTTATTATCAAGCTGTACAATCGTATATGTATATGGTTTTTTTAAGAAATTATATCCAGTGAGGGAATTAGCTTAAAGGTGTGAATACATGAAATAATAATAATAGTATGAAATGCAATTAAAATATTTGTGGTTAGGGTTAGGGATAACATACTACTCATTCTTTTATACGTAGTATATATTTTTATACAAAATATTTCGTTACGAAAGGAACTCAACTACTGCACAACTTACTATTTTGATGATAATAATTCACATATAAATTCACCGGTTTTCCTTTATACACTGAATCTGCCATTCTGAATTTCAAATTATCATTAACACCTTGAAAAATATGTCCTGGATTTTGATGATTTATAAGTCTAAAAGAGGGAAAGAGAGAGAGAGGGAAATTGAAAAATAATTGAGAATAGTACAAAAATGTAGACAAAGTCACATTCTTTTGCAGTCTCCATACAATCACTTAATTCAAAGTAGAACAAATTTTATCCATATATCAACAAGGTGTTAGGTAGACATTCGTAAGTGTGTCGTTACAAAAGAATTCACAAGGACCTTCTTTAATTCTGTGGAAGTTAGTTCATATATATAACCTTAACTATGGTTTGTAAGTTATTGTCAACATTTAGCCTTTATGTGATTTTTAGTCTTCCTAGTTGTCTTGCAGATTAGGTGCATATTGATTAATCACTGCAACTGCTTGGTTCATTTAAAATTCCGGAAGCCTGGATGAAACAAAAAATTTGATGCCTTTCAAAATGGCAATTATTATTAAGTGAGCCCAAAACGAATGATGAATTCGCAAATTATACTACCAGACTGGACAATCTCATTCTGGCTGATATCTTTCTAAGTAAGCTAGAAAATGAACCTTTGAACAACCTTATCAGTAAGTTCTCATTTTATTGCCAATATATGGATGCTACTTTTATTCTTTGTGATAATGGTTCTGATAGGAGTACAATAATTACTGAATTCAATGAAGTACATTCGGCTATGAAATTCATGTGCGAAGAGGAATCCCAAAACAGAATTACCTTCCTGGCTAGTCCTCCTTACAAGAAAATCAGATGGTAGCATAGAAAGAAATTCGCATAGGAAAAGTACTTGGACAGGACAATATACACATTTTCACAGCTTCGTTCCACTATAATACAAAAGAAATCTATTAGGGACCGTCAGCCACAGGATTACAGCTATATGCTCAGAAGAAGTAACTGAAGAGGAATTAATTATTGTATATGAGACTTCGATCGAAAACAGCTATCCCGATAAATTTATCAAGAAACACATGACAAAGAAAGCGGCGGAAAAGGACTACTGACTATCTGTAAAAAAGAAGCCACTTCATATACGAGTACAATTGAAGGGCGATATACCAAGTGAGATAATTACGAGGAAATTAAGCAAATCAGTTGAAAGAACTTTTAGTGCTGGCGAACTTCACGTCTTATTCTCTACACGACCGATGGTGTTACCTCGACTAAAAGGTGAAGTACCTAGACTAGCTGGTCATTTCAAATTGTGTCTGCCAATTCAACTGTGCTTGTGGAGCGAGTTATATTGGCCGTTGCTCTACGAACTTGATTTTTCGTGCTCACTCGAGAAAATCTCCCAGCATGGTTAAGTAAAGGTGTAGTTAAAACCACTAACACTTCGATATTGGACCATCTGGTGCAACCGGCCACAAAGCCAGCCAGCGTGGAAGAATCCTTCTCTATAATCTACCGGCTGCCTAATAAATTGCCAAAATCATCGAAGCACCACATGCTCAGAACGGCAGAGGCTATTGCGATTCATCTCAAACAACCATACTCTGTGTTCGAAAGAAGCAAGTCCAGTCCCTACTACTGCCTTAGCCTTCAGTAAAGACTATAAATTCATTAATTTGTACTATTATCTTTCCTAATTCTTCTGACATTCAGCTTATTGTTATGTTGATGCGATTCAGCTGTAATCTATCAATATTATTGATTCGATGTTATTTAAACATTAATGTCGTTCATAACACTAATTCATTCATTCACTATAATGTATATATATAACTATATAGCCTGATGAAGAACAGCTTATCGAATAGAGTACTCTTTGTTCAGTATCCATTATGTTGAAAATTTTAATGGGCATTTTAATCAGTTTTATAGTTTTCTTTGTCCTCTCCTATTTGTCGTCGTTCAACAGCAAACTTAACTTGGGCAAATATCATTCGCAGATAGATGGCTCCACTTTTCGATGTTACCCGAAACAACCAATCAGAAGTCTGTGTTTATCTGCTTAACTTCCGAGAAACAATCAATCAGAAGACTGCGTTTGTCTGCTTGCATAAGCTTTAATAATGTACAGGAAATATACATTAATACGTGTTGATTTCCGTAATAAAACGATCTGTTGCCGGCCCTTGTCTTCTGTTGTTACACTGGTTGTTCAAGGCCAAACACGATAGCCTCTGCTGTTCGGAGAATGCGGTACCTGGATGTTTTTGGTAATTTATTTGGTACCCGGTAGATGATGGAGAAGGACTCTTCAGTATTACTTTTTTGACCGTTTGGACCAGGTGTTCAATATAGAGCTATTGATGGCTTTTACTGCACCTTTACCTAGCCACACTGGTAGATGTTCCCGAATGAGCACGAAAAATCAAGTTCCTAGAGCGACGGCCAATATAACTCACTACACCAAAAGCGCAGTTTAATTGGTAGATACAATTGGAAGTGGCTAGTCTAGGTACTTCATCTTTCATTTGGGGAATCACCATCGGTCGTGTAGAAAATATGACTTCTAGTTTGTCAGCATTAAATGTTCTTTGAAGTGATTTTCTCAACTTCTTCGTCATTATTTCGCTAGGTATATTGCCCTTGAATTGCAGTCGCATGTATAAAGGCTTCTTGTTTACCGATAACGAATAGTCCTTTTCAAATTTCTTAGTTACGTGTTTCCCGATGAATTTTTCTGGATAGCTGTTTTCAATTAGGGTGTCATATGCAATCATTATTTCATCTTAATTTGCTTCTTCTGAGCATATAGTTGTAACCCTGTGGCTGACGGTTCCTACTAGATTTCTTTTGTACTGGAAAGGAACGAAGCTGTGAAAATGTGTATATTGTCCTGTCCATGTGCTTTTCCTATGCAAATTTCTCTTTATACTACCATCAGGTTTTCTTGTATGAAGGACGAACATCTATTTTGGAATTCTTCTTCGCACATGAATTTCATAGCAAAATTTTTACTTCATTGAATTAAGGTATTTTTGTGTTCTTATCCGAATCATTGTCACAAAGAATCAAAGGTATTATCCACATACCTGTCAACGAAATGAGAATTTTCTAATAAGGCTGTTGGAAGGCGCTTATTGAGAAAGAAATCTGCCAAAATAGGGCTAACTTAGTGATAGGTTGTCTGTCCTACTGACAACTATTGATACCCTCCGGAATATGACATAGCCGTGTTTTACGAGACCAGGAAAAACTAAGATCACGAGAATAAAGATAAGTAAGTACGATGCAGGAGGTAAAAAATCGTGAAAGTAGAGGTTGAGTAATAACTGATGGACTTAACTTTTTGATGCTGTAGGTTCGATTGAATATTTTCTATGAAACTGAAAAAGATATGGGATGAACAGGGAAGAAAGGAGGATCAAGAGGTGATTTGGCAACTACTTCGCTAATACGGGGTCCCACCGACAATTATACATCTCATCCAACAATTATACAACAATGCTGCATGCCAAGTAATCCACAACGGGAAACTTACGGAAGCCTTCGAAGTGAGGATGGGAGTGAAACAAGGCTGTCTATTATCGACAGTGATCTTCCTGATTGCAGTAGACTGGATAATGCGACAGATAGCGATGGGCAGCGAGGAAACAGGCATAAAATGGACTAACACAAAAAACTTGGAGGATCTGGACTTCTCCCATGTTGATATATGTCTGATTTCCCACAAACTGGAAGATATGCAAGTAAACAGCAACAAGTTGGCGGAAGAAGCATCAAAGATAGGACTTCAGGTGAACATAGAGAAAACAGAGATGATGAAGATCCCTTGGCCAACAACAACAGCAACAACAACAACAGACAACAATCAGTCAGCATGAATGGGAGGAAACTGAAAGAAACAACCTCCTTCAACTACATACCTGGGAAGCATCGTTTTAACTACAGGCGAACGGAACTGATGAGGATATCAAAGCGAGGATCGGAAAAGCAAGACAGGCTTTCATTACCCTTAAGTCTGTGTGGAGGTTAACAGCCCCACTCAGAATCAAAAATAAGGTTCGGATTTTCAACTCCAATGTGAAGTCAGTGCTACTCACTATACGGATCAGAGACTTGGCTCGTCATAAAGAGCATCTCTAACAAACTTCAGACCTTCATTAACAGTTGTCTTCGCTCAATACTACTCAAGATCAGATGGCCGGCCAGGAAAGATCAGCAACAAAGATCTCTGACAGCGAACCAACCAACCAGGAACCGATTGAAAAACAAGTAGGCAGGAAGAAATGGAGATGGATTGGGCATACACTGAGGAAACCATCAAGTGACATCACTAGACAAGCCATCACTCGGGTGGAACCCGAAGGGGAAGCAGCGAGTTGATCGTCGGTGCAAGGATGACTTGGAGGAGGTCATGTGGAGAGAAGATGAAAGCATGTGGGCAGACCTGGAGCGGAGTGAAAAAGTTTGCAGAAAACAGATAGCAATGGAGACGCTTGGCTGAAGCCCTATGTTCCTCTAGGAATTAAATGATATAATAATAATAATTATTATTAGCTCATTTTTAACTTAGTTTCTATTTCACTTCCTTCCTGTACGCCACAAGCATCATGTGAACGAAAGACGAATCGAGTTATTACAAGCTGATGAAACAGATTTGTTAATTTTAGAAGGGGCATCATCGCAAAATGACATCAGTTAGTGAATTACTGAAGACCGAGGAGCTGTTTCAGTCGAGTTGTAGACAACTCAGCAGTGCGCACTATAATACCTGTAGTAGGCGTCGAACCTAGAATATTCAGGTTATAGGGTAAGCTTAGTGACCAGTCAGTCAGTGATTTGGAATTCTGAAAAGTCTGTCAACCGGCTACACAACAGCATCGCTAGTCAGTGTCACCGATGTGCACCCACGTCAAACTTGACCTAATTTATCCCGGCTGATAATGCAACTGATGTTACTTCATTATGAATGCAGATGATCTAGTCCGTCGAGGTGAAAACGCTGACAAAATACAAAGTTTTCTGAAAACATTGAGCTGCAATCAACGAATGCTTGACATGCAATTCGCTGCTGCCAAATGTAAGATGATGCTACAGGACTGGACTAATAATAATAATAATGATTTACTTTATTCCAAAAACAGTACTTG